CAAACAAACAAAAAGCCGCGATCGCGATCTGCGGCGGCAATTCGGCAGGAGATCCTTCGCTCCGAGCAGGAGTGAGGGACCGTCCACCGAATTGCCAAACAGCTGGACGTGCCGCCCCTCTCCGAACTGGCTACCCAGTTGGTAAGCTGGTGCCTGGAGCCGGCCATGGCCGGAGGAGCGGGGACACAGCATGCTTGGGGGAGAGGAGGTGGTGGTGCAGGGGGGGAGGGGAGCTTTGGTGCAGAGCACCCACTAATTTTTCCCCGTGGGTGCTCCACGGAGTCGGCACCTATGGACACGCTACCAGAGAAGTAGATTGTATCATGGAATGGGCCACCCACATACCCCGAGAGAGCCTGCTTCCATACAGAAATAAAGCCCCCTGACTATACAACCCTAGTTGTCACCTACCACCCCCCACTGGAACCCATACGGGGTATCATCAAACAACTCATCTGTGACAGTGTACCCCATAAGGCTTTATGGGGGGGTGCTTATAAATATATGTATGTATGATATACCTGGAATAGGGGTTTGGTACATATGCCATGTAACATATCTATGTAAAGGTTATGATCTACTGGTTATGTTCATCCTAGTTGTATGCAGGCACCATTTGTGTGTTCAAAGTTACGAACATTGGCTGTATAATTGCTTGATTTCTAAGTAGCCTTAGTTAGAACATTTGGTCATTTCTTGGGAAAGGAATGTGCAAATTAGGTGCTCAATCAGGAAGTGCTTAACAGACAAAAGAGCTTGGAAGACTCCAATCCACATAAGAAGTCTACCTGAGGACCTTCCAGGTAGCATGTGGGTAATGGCTACTACCTGCAAGTCCTGAATCATGCATGGGCATGTGACTTGCCCATGTGATTCCGAATCTCCATTTTGTGACTGGATTCTACACAGGGTGAAGAGGGGGTCTCCACCCACAAGAGAAAGTTTATTTAAACCCCTGGGAGACCCCTCCATTTTGTCTTCAGCTGGCTAAAGAAGGAGCCTCTCCACCCCCCAGGATACTTGAAGGAAACTGGAACAAAGGACAGTAACTACAGGGGGTGTGAGTGATTGCTGGACCCAGGCTAAAAGGAGATTAGCCTGTACAGGGGAGCATTCTGGAACTGGTGAGGATCTTATCTGTATTCAGTTCGATTAGACAGAGATTTGTGCATTTTATTTTATTTTGCTTGGTGACTTACTCGGTTCCAAGTAGTAACAGACAGAACAACTTAAATCCTACTGTCTGTATTTAATAAAATCACTTTTTATTTAGTAATTTACTCAGAGTATGTATTAATACCTGGGGGAGCAAATAACTGTGCATATCTCTCGATCAGTGTTATAGAGGGCGAACAATTTATGAGTTTGCCCTGCATAAGCTTTATACAGGTTAAAACGGATTTATTTGGGTTTAGACCCCATTGGGAGTTGGGCATCTGAGTGCTAAAGACAAGCACACTTCTGTGAGCTGTTTTCAGGTAAACCTGCAGCTTCGGGGCAAGTAATTCAGACCCTAGGTCTGTGTTGGAGCAGACGGGAGTGTCTGGCTCAGCAAGACAGGGTGCTGGAGTCCTGAGCTGGCAGGGAAAATAGGAACAGGGGTAGTCTTGGCACATTGGTTGGCAGCTCCCAAGGGGGTTTCTGTGATCCAACCCGTCACACCATCCTCAATGGAGACCCCATCCTGAAAGAAATATTTCCTGAACCCCCACTTCTGGGCACCAAACAGCCCCCCACAACTCCACACTCATCATCAGAAGCAAGCTTCCCGCAGACCTGGTAACACCAACTCAAAGCAGCACCAAACCCTGCCAGAAGAGATGCAAAACCTGCAGACATATCTCCACTGCTACAATGATCAACATCGCCCACAACGCACCCCTCAAGATCCATGGTCCTACACATGCCTATCACAACATGTGGGATACCTCGTCCAGTGCACGAAATGCCCTGATAGGAACACGTGGGTCACACCAAACCATCACGACGCTCTCAAATGACCTCACACAGGCAAATGTTAAAAGACAAAAACACTCTGTCACCTGTGGGTGATCACTCCATATCTGACTTCTCAGTTCTCCTCCCCAAAGGAAACCTGCACAACACCTTCAAAAGAGGAGCCTGGGAGCTTAAATTCATAACCCTGCTAGGCACTAAAAATCATGGACTGAACAGAGACCCTGGATTTATGGCTTATTACAACAATCTGTAAACCTTTTTGTCCCTTGACTGCAAAGGTGTTAACCAGCAGGGCCGGCTCTAACTTTTTTGCCACCCCAGGCAAAAAAAAGAGCGCCGCCCCGCTGTAACACCCCCCCCCCAGCGCTGCCAAAGCCCCTGCCCCCTCGTGCCGTGCCGCTGAAACAAAAAACAAACAAACAAAAAACCCTCGAGCGCCGCCCCACCGAACCAAAAATACAAAAAACCCCGAGCGCCCCCCGCCACCCCAAGATTGGCCGTCCCAAGCACGTGCTTGGTCGGCTGGTGCCTGGAGCCGGCCCTGTAACCAGCCACTCCACCTTGAATGATCCTAACTACTTACTCTCGGCTAAACAATCTCTTCCACCTTGTATTTAGCTGCGAGGCTCCAGTACCTTTCCCAGACCTGAAGAAGAGCTCTGTACAGCTCCAAATCTCAGCTCTGGTCCAGTCAACGATAGGACCGCACCCACCTGGTGTCTCTAATCAAGAGGACAGCTTTGGCTAACAGCCCAGCCCGGTTCAGTGGTGAAGTAAAGGCAACATTTAGATATAAAAATCAATAGAAAAGTGCAGGGGCGGCTCTAGGTATTTTGCCGCCCCAAGCACGGCAGTCAGGCAGCCGTCGGCGGCACGCCTGCGGGAGATCTGCTGGTAACACGGATTCGGTGGCATGCCTATGGGAGGTCCCCGGTCCCGCGGATTCGGCAGCCTGCCTGCAGGAGGTCCGCTGGTCCCGCGCCTTTGGCGTACCCGCCGCCGAATTGCCGCCGAAACCACGGGACCGGCAGACCTCCTGCAGGCATGCCGCCGAAGGCAGCCTGACTACTGCCCTCATGGCGACCGGCAGGCCGTCCCCCACGGCTTGCCGCCCCAGGCACGCACTTGGTGCGCTGGTGCCTGGAGCCGCCCCTGGAAAAGTGAAAAGAAGGGAAACTAGACAACAATCATCAGAGGGGTAGCCATGTTAGTCTGGATCTGTAAAAAGCGACAAAGAGTCCGGTGGCACCTTATAGACTAACAGACGTATTGGAGCGTAAGCTTTCGTGGGTGAATACCCACTTCGTCAGACGCAAGATGCAATAGACATTAGAAATGCAGAAAAAGACAGGCACCAACCTCCTGTCCCACCCTGGGGGCAGGACCCCACACGCCCCCACCCCAGGACCTCCCACCAACCCACCCTGGGCATAGGCAGGACTCGCCCCCCAATAAAATGGATAAAACAATAAATTCCACCAAATCAAACTAACCATGATTAGAAAACGCCGGGAAATGCGGGGGCTGGATCGGTCCCTGCTGGCCCAAGGCTCAGGGACTTTACTGGGGAGGGTAATTAAGCCCTGGGACAACGCTGCGCCGCGGGGCGGGCGGATTCCCCATCCCTGGCCGGGTTTCAGCCCAGCCGGGCTCTGCTCGGGGGTCACCTGCAGGCGGGTCTCTGGCCAGCCCAGAGCATCCCCAGGGCTCCGCGGGCAAACCCGCAGCTCGCCTGGACCGGGCGTGCGGGGCGTCCCTCCAGCGGCTCGGCTCTTCGCAGCTGCCGGCTGCGCCTTCCCCCGGGGCCAGGGGCTGGAGAGGGGAAGGGGGCAGCCCCCTGCGGCCCGCCCGAGGCAGGAGCGGACACGCCGCAGGCTCCAGGCCCCGCTGTGGTCGCTGCTGGGCCAGGGGCAGCCCGGGGGGGGGGCGCCCGGCCCTGAGCCCCGGCCTACCTGAGCAGGGGGCGCCCCGGCCCACGGCCTCTTCCTCCCCATGGCGCCGCGCCCTCGGCTCCCGGCCGCGCCCCTGCTGGCGCCCCGGGAGGACGGGAAGCGCGCTCCGGAGCGGGGAGCGATGGGCCGGGAGTCCTGCCACAGGGACGCCTGGCGGCCCCGCTCGGAATAGCCCCGACCTGCCGGGAGCGGCGGCACCGCAGAGCCCCAGGCAGCTCCGGGTCCCCTCGCCGGTCTCCTCCCCTTCCCAGCGCGTCCTGCGCTGCGCCCCGCGCTGCGCTCCCGGGGCCGCGCCGCCTGCCCCAGCTGGGCTCTGGGGCGTCCTGCAGCTCTGCGCCCCAGCCCCTTTCACCGCCCTTCCTGGCTGTGCTGGGAGCGGGCCGGGCTGCTGGCTAGTTCAGGGGCCTAGCAGTGCCCAGCCTGGCCAGGGGAACCCCTACAAACGGAGAGCCTGTGGGCACTGGTACCCGGGCTCTGGTTAATGGCATGACAAGCTGTGACACTGGTTCAAGAGGCCCAAGAGTGGGGTCTATGCCAGGTGAAAGCAGGAACACAGGACCTGCCCCCTTGGATCAGACCAGGGATTTAGGACCATCTCTGACAGTGGGCAGCCCGGAGGAAGAGGCAAGAAACCCCACTGTACATGTGGGATAATCTGCCCCATTAAGAGTTTTATCCTCATCTCCAATAGTTGGAGATTGTTTTAAACCAGTGGCTCTCAACCTTTCCACATGACTGGACCCCTTTCAGGGGTCGGATTTGTCTTGTGCAGCCCAAAGTTCACCTCGCTTAAAAACGACTTGCTTACAAAATCAGAGATGAAAATGGAAAAGTGTCACAGCGCACTGTTACTGAAACATTGCTGACTCTCTCATGTTGTCTGTATGAAATTTTAGTTTGTATTGACTTTACTGGTGCTTTTTCTGTAGCCTGTTGTAAAACCAGGCAAATCTCTGGATGAGTTGATGTACCCTGGGAAGACCTCTGCGTACCCCTGGTTGAGAACCACTGGTTTAAACCATGAAGCACAAGGTTTAGCTCCTTTCCCTTTTTGTTAGCATTATCTATCGAAACTCTGCCTATCCTGGTTAGCCATGTAAACATCAAATTCCTCTTTGAATCTTACTGCACTCTTGGATTCCATGTGGCAGGCAGTTTCACAGTCTAAGTGCATTGTGTGAAAAATACTGCCTGCGATCAGTTCTAAATCTCCTCGCCTCCCTTCCAGTTTAATTGATATAATGTACCGGCCAGGGGCTAGGGCTTTGCAGTGGGTATGTGTCTCCTTCCCCTTCTCCCATAAAAGCTTCCTTCTAGTGTTTGATCCCAAACACAGTCAGGTTTATTTTTAGGCTCTCCTGTGGTGCGCAGCATAGAGGGAGCAGAGCAGTTCACAAACAGGAGTGATTTTATCCTTATAACAGTCCCCCATGGGGAATGTTGGTGCTCCTGTCTCCATTCAAAAAAGCACTAGGTAAGTTCATGGAGGATGGGTCCATCAATGGCTTTTAGCCAGGCTGGGCAGGGATGGTGTCCTTAGCCTCTGTTTGCCAGAAGTTGGGAATGGATGACCGGGGTTGGATCACTTGATGATTCCCTGTTCTGTTCATTCCCTCTGGGGCACAGGCGCCAACTTTCCAAAGTGCAAGGGGGTGCTCGACCCCTGGCTCTGCCCCAGGCCCCACCCCGTCTCTTCCCCCCCCAGATCCGCCCCCTCCCCGAGAGGCTGCGTTCTCGCACCTCTCCCCTCCCTCCCACGCCCCCCCCACCTCCTGAATGCTGTGAAACAGCTGATTGCGGTGGGCAGGAGGCGCGGAGAGGGAGGGGGAGGCGCTAATCTGCGGGGCTCGCCGGCAGGTGGGAGGTGCGTGGGGGGGGGGGATGGGAGGCGCGTGGGGGGGGTGGGAGGGAGCTGATAGGGAGGCTGTCGGTGGGTGCTCAGCACCCACCATTTTTTTCCCATGGGTGCTTCAGCCCCAGAGCACCCATGGAGTTGGCGCCTATGCCTCTGGGGCACCTGACATTGGCCAGTGTCGGAAGTCAGGACACTGGACTGGATTGACCTTTGGTCTGACCCAGTCTGGCTACTCTTATGTGCTTATTATACAAATGGAATTGAAGCCCCGAGGGATTAAGCAATGCACGCAAGGCCCCAGAGGAAATGTATGTGATAGTCGGTAACTGAAACCAAGTCTCCTGAGTGCTGGCCCTGTGCCTTAATGACAAAACCACCCTTCCTCCCACGTGTCTTTTCATCTTGGGCTTTGTGACGGAGTCACAGGCCCGATGCTTGGGCACTGCTCTGTCTGAAGCCAGCCAGGACTCTGGGTAACGTCACTCCCCTCAGGGCTGTCCAGGGCAAAAAGCATCCTCGGCTACGGCCTTCCCAGTCTGACCTCAGAGCATTCAGCCCCTCTGTTCACCCTTGGCAGGTCCACATGGACAGGACCCTGGGGAAGCCAGAGGGCCCTGCACCCCAACTCTGCAGCCAGCCGTGACTCTCAGCCAGCGTGTAACACAGAAGGTTTATTAGTCAACAGGAACACCGTGTAGAACAGAGCTTGTTAGCACAGAAATCAGTGAGTTTTAGCAAAGTCCATCTTGGAGAATCCCAGGCCAGACATCCTGGACACCCCCTCTGAGTCCCAAACAGAAGACTGCCCAGCTTCCAGCGACCCAACCTCCGACATGCCCGTTGCCGCTCCTCTTGGTCTTTGTCTCGTTTCCAGGGCAAAGTGTCACCTGGTCGCATCCCCCTCCTCGCCTGGAGCTGCCTCACCTGCCCCCAAGGGTCTCAGCAAAAATCACACCCCCTTATCCCTACCACCTAGGCATTGGTGCAATACACAGGGAAACTGAGGCACACAGTATTCGTGTAAAAGAGTAAGACTCACATAGGCTCGCGTACAACAGAATGAGGAAAAATCCACTTTGTCACAGGCTTCATACTAGGTTTAATGCCCTGTGCCCATCTGTCATTGTTCGGTCTGGCCTGGCAGGGGCAATATGCACATAGGACCCATCTGTGCTTACCTGAATTTTGATTCTTCTTGAACTTCATTGTGGCGGGAACTTTAAAGTGGCACCGTTTTGCTCCTTACTCCCTGTGCACAGGCAGCGTCTGAGCTCCTACACTGTGGCAACACCAAGTTTTTCCTGGTTTTTACTCCGGTCAGCCCTGCAGTGGCAGAGAGTGGGTGAGGTGAGAGTTCTGGGAGAGTGAGTTGGATTTTAGTCCATCTCAGGCATCAGCAGCAGATCGTTAACCATGTTCTAATTGTGCAGTCTTCATGAGTGGCGGGTGACCCACCAGCTTGCAGAGACTAGCCCCTGGCCGGCCCTGCCCCTCCCATCTCCCTTCCCCCACCAGAGCCCCCCCACACACACAGTCGCCAGCCCCCTCCCTCCCCCCCCCCGAGCACCGGGCAGGCAGCATGCACCCCCTCACCCCGAGCAGGTGGGTGCTCCCCGAGTGCCAGGCAGGCAGCACCTAGCCCCTCAGGCAGGCAGCACGCAGTCCTCCCTAGCCCCCCCTGAGAGCCGGGCAGCACACCCCCAGCACCCAGGGACTCCCCAGCACAGGGCGGACCCAGCTACCCCAGTCCCCTAGCCCTAGCCCCAGCACGCTTCCCTGAAGAGGAACAGCCAGCCTGCCTGGGGCTGGGGGGGCCAAAGGGGAAGGACAAGCACAGGGGCCACGCTGGGCTAGTTGGGGTGCTATACTCTCCCCCCGCCTACAATACGTGCCGCCCATGGCAGTCTTTATTGCTGGTGACTTTTACTTTTCCCGGTGGCTGCTCCAACCTTCCCCGAGGCCTCGCCCTCACTCTGCCTCTTCCCACCCCGGCTCGTCCCCCTCCCAAGGCCCCGCCCCTGCTCCGCCTCTTCCTGCTCTCATAAGAACGGCCAGACTGGGTCAGACCAAAGGTCCATCTAGCCCAGTATCCTGTCCTCTGACAGTGGCCAATGCCAGGTCCCCAGAGGGAATGAACAGAACAGGTCATCATCAAGTGATCCATCCCCTGCCGCCCATTCCCAGCTTCTGGCAAACAGAATCTAGGGACACCATCCCTGCCCAGCCTGGCTAATAGCCATTGATGGACCTATCCTCCATGAATCTATCTAGATCTTTTTTGAACCCTGTTATGGTCTTGGCTTTCACAACACCCTCTGGCAAGGAGTTCCAGAGGTTGACTGTGCGTTGTGTGAAGAAATACTTTCTTGTGTTTGTTTTAAACCTGCTGCCTATTAATTTCATTTGGTGACCCCTAGTTCTTGTGTTATGAGAAGGAGTAAATAAAACTTCCTTATTTACTTTCTCTATACCACTCATGATTTTATATACCTCTATCATATCCCCCCTTAGTCGCCTCTTTTCCAAGCTGAAAAGTCCCAGTTTTATTAATCTCTCCTCATACAGAAGCCATTCCATACCCCTAATTATTTTTGTTGCCCTTTTCTGAACCTTTTCCAAGTCCAATATATCTTTTTTGAGATGGGGCAACCACATCTGCACACAGTATTCAAGGTGTGGGTGTACCATGGATTTATATAGAGGCAATATGATATTTTCTGTCTTATTATCTATCTCTTTCTTAATGATTCCCAACATTCTGTTCGCTGTTTTGACTGGCGCTGCACATTGAGTGGATGATTTCAGAGAACTATCCACTGACTCCAAGATCTCTTTCTTGGGTGGTAACAGCTAATTTAGACCCCATCATTGTATATGTATATTGTATATAGTTGGGATTATGTTTTCCAATGTGCATTACTTTGCATTTATCATCACTGAATTTCATCTGCCATTTTGTTGCCCAGTCACCCGGTTTTGAGCGATCCTTTTGTAGCTCTTCGCAGTCTGCCTGGAACTTAACTATCTTGAGTAGTTTTGTACTCCACTTCTTCCTGCCCCTGCTCAGCCCCTCCCCCGAGCACCTCCCGCCGGAGGCCTTGCTCCGCCTCTTCCCACTCCCGGTCTGACCCCTCC